GCTTGTAACTATTCCCTATCTAAGAAAGTGTGTATTTTAAATTGCTAGCAGGTAGGTTTTTATTGCAAAGGAGACTCTATATGTCTTTTTTTGCAAAAATAGCTTTTTTTTCTGCCTGCCATTGATTTTCTTTGGATTGTACACGGAGCCACACATTCAGTGTACAGTCAACTCAGTTTACAATCTCAGCATGCTTTGGGTTCCTGACCGGCCATTCAAGATGGCTGCAGGCTCTGAACCCAGAAGAAAACTAGGCAAAGATGTCCACAATGGGAACTGGGTAACAAAGGAGATAACAGATAGCGATTTGCTGGAAAAGGATTCTTTGGGAGATAAGTGTGCCGTAATGTGCATTAAAGAGGAACTTTACCAATATCTTTGAGATGACAACAAATACACCTTTAGAAATGTTTAGTAATGGCAATCTGCGAACAGATAGATAATTGTCAGCTTTTTATTCTTTGCATACCCTAATTTTCTCTACCTCCCCATTTCTCTCATGGTGGCCATTTTTTTTACTAAGGGCAGATTAATATATCTCCCTTTACTTCCTGGAACTGTGACTAGGACATGTGACCATGCAAATCATCTCAGGGGAGGAAAATGCCTTTCCCTGAGATCTCGTGAGATTACATATGAGATTTCCCAGCAATGCACTGCTCATGTAACTTTCCCAGGATGCATCGCTTGGGCACAATTACATCACTAATGCCTAAGAGGACCAGGAGGTGGAAAAATAATTGTAAGTAAAAGAAAAATATGTTTGTTTCACTAAAGAATGTAAGATGTTTTTAAATCGACATGCAGAGCTGCATGCTGAAGTAATTTTTAGTGAAAGGGGGTAAAGGTTCGCTTTGGGTTCCATTTTAGGGCAAAACAATATGTATGTACACACACATACATATTCTGGAAGTACAGTTTAAATAACAAAATAACAATGAAAAGAGAAAATGGTAGGTTGGTACAACGATTTTGAAATGTATGAGATTGTTCACTAAGGCAGACAGCTGTGTGCAAAATGCAGTAACCCAGAGCAACCATTAGTCATCTTTTACTAATCCTACCTAAGTGAACTGAAATCTGATCACTATAAGTTACAGCTTCAATGAATAAGCTTGCATAGGTCAATGACTAGTTAGCTTGTCTGTTCTCAGGAGTTCTCTCAACAGCCATATGAGTGAAGAGATATGTATGCTCCAGGGCATGATGAGTAGGGTGTAGTTAGATCACTGCACCTTGGAAGTAGAGAGCCATATCTTAAACCTACTTATTAAGAAAACATAGATTGTTACTAATGTCACAGCCAGCAAAACTAGCATGGCGTGATTAATCATCCCTAAAAAATTAATTACATAGCTTACCATATGTTGCAGAACTTAAAGAAAAATATTTTCCTCAACAGATCTGTCGAAAAATGAATGGAGTTAGATTTACCTGCTGTAAAAGCGCCAAGGACCGAACTTCCATGTCAGTGACATTGGAGCAGTGCTCAGTCTTGAGAGATGAACATGATCTTCACAAAGACTTCTTTGTCCGGGCTCTTGATTGCATGAGAAGGTATGTACAGCATGTATGGTATCACTAGAACATCTTTGTGACGTTTTAGAGGCTTATTCACACTGATCGCTGTGAAAGGCATTCATCTGATGAAGCCTTCTGCTACCTTCTATGTTAAAGCTTTAAAGAATGCCACAGCATTCTCCTGCAGTTCACTTTGCATGTTATTAATGCTGGCTTATTGCCCTGCTCACAGGGCATCTAAATGACGCTAAATTAACTTTAATTGACTTCTATGTTTTTACTAGTGGTTCCAAAGAAAGCTAAATTATAGCTAAAGCCCAATCCTTTTTTTATATTGAGTAAGGGAGGGATACTTTTTTTTCCATCTGTGTCTAATTAGAGATTTCCCTTCACTGCCTGTCCTGTAGACTCAACTGGAAGTGAGATGAGGGGGAGGGTATCTTTCCAATGTGAGGGAATACCAACCTTAAACATTTGTCACATGAAAAAGCGTCCCATTGGAAGATTTCCTGCCGAGTCCTGTTTTGGTGGCAACTCAAAAATGTGGATTTACCCTCACTTTCATTTCCCGTGACATTGTTGATCAGGACAATTTGAGAGAGTAAATCTCCCTATCAGGGACACTTACAGCAATAAAAAAAAAAGCTGACAGGGGTTCTAACCCTTTGCCTATCTGAATCTAAAAAAAAAAGATTTGCCTTTAGTTACACTGCATTGAGTCTACACCACCTAAAGCAGCAACTCCCACAAAAAACAGGCACCCCTAAGGGAGTACGTACAGTCTCAAAGGCATGGATCCGCACATCCAATTCAAAACAGATTACATGAAGAAAAATAACATTGTACTGCTTTGTACATCAGACATCTTTTGGCACCTAGTGGGAATATGTTTGCAATCTACAGTAAGTATATTTAATTTGTGGTATTCAACAGAAGACTCTATTTTATAAGGATGGCAGCTCAATAAATAAATAAATATATCTTCTTGGTTTTTTTTGAGCTGCTGCACTTTGCTTTATGTATCAAAAGGAAAAGGCCTTTTAGCTTTATCGTCTGCCAGAGGAATACACCTGTTCGGTGATCCCTTGACATTCTCTGTATCCTGTTCCCATGCTTCTATGTTATGGAGGGACCGTGGGAATAGCACAGGAAACATCTGTTTATTCAGTAACATCATACAAGGAGAAATGGTGTGCAGTAATCTATGGTATCCAAACACAAGTTTAGGGTGAAAAGATAGAGGCCCATCCACTTTTTAACAGGTTTCAATGTGCTGACTTTTATTGCCAGACAAAAGCTTCAAAATCACAGTGTAAATTGTGAAGGCCATGGATTTCACAGAGCCGTTTAAAGTTGGCCTCCAGATATAAGTAATTTCTGTTAGTTGTGAAGACCCACCTCCCACACTGCAGAATTTGTGTGTGTATTTTCTTTTATAAAGGTATATAGTATAAAATAAAAACTTACTGTTTTAGTGCAGTATCAATCTGCTTTCTTTCATAATTCTAAGCTGATGATTGACCATACTCTTTCCTCCATCTACAAGACCTGTCTCTGGATCAGCCATATTAAGGGTTAGACCACAAGTTGAGGAGGTCAGCAAAGTACCAGTGGATGCTGGGACATGACGTCCCACTGGTGGTTACACCACTTTTCTGTGTTGTTGTGCCACCACCTTAGACCTAAAACCTAAATTTTAGACAGCAGTTTTATGGTTTGTATTCTTGTTTATCATCGTGTTTAAGTGCAATGAATGCACAGTATAACATGGCTCGCTTTTTTGTTGCCCAACTCAGTCAAGATGGTCTTCCCTTCTCTCCCCCCATTTTAATATTTGCATAATTGTGGTATCTCATGAAACCTTTCACATTATTATTATTATTATACAGGATTTATATAGCGCCAACAGTTTGCGCAGCGCTTTACAATATAAGGAAGACATTACAATCACAATACAATTCAAGACAAGATGGTAAGGAGGGCCCTGCCCGTGAGGGCTTACATTCTAAAAGGGAACATAAATACCTCTCATAATTGGCATGCTCACTAATTGATTAAAGATTTAATGGGCATTTACAAATATTATAAAAATGTTCACAGATCGGATGAGCAAGGACTGGAAGTTCTTATTCATTTGCTGTCAAAAAGTTTTTTTCTGGCCTAGGTTTAGGGTATTGACCAGATTTATGTCATAAAGCTAAATTGCAGGATGTGTTATGTACTACATTCCCCTTGACGCTGTGCAAATTTGGAAATTTGCAAGCTGGAAATTTAGCCTTAAGTACTTTATCTGCTTGCTGGCTGCCCATTGTAAATAAATGGCCAGATGACTCGCACTTGAGGGCGGGGGGATGTTTTAAAATGCCTTCTCCTTCCCCTGTTCGCACGAGCGGGAAACTGTAAAAAAAAATTAAAGCCGGGGATGGCTGTTACATACAAGCACTTGGATGGCTTTAGAGCCACCGCATTGCATGTGTGGTGTCGGGGAAGTGTGCACCCCCCCAGCTATCCTGGGCTCCGGTGTCTCCCATGCATGCCCAGGACCAGCATGGCAGGTCTGTGTACTGTACATTGATTAGAGGGAGATCAGCACACCTATAGCAGATGATCTCCCCTCAAATCACTGAAAGCAGAAACCATGCATCTATGAAGGCCTTTGTATCTAGGCTAAGCCGAAGTGATGAAGCCGTTCACTCGTTGCCGTTCATCCCTATTCTCTGCAGCACTCAGCTCGTCTATTCTGCTCGCTACTTCCGAGGTAGAATAGACAGAATTGTTTCCCATTTTGGATAAAGTGGGGGAGGGTTAGAGCTACTGTTGGTTTGTAAACTCAACAGGAAATGAGACAATATCTTTAAAATGTGAGGGAAATTCGGTCTAAGACAGTTGTCACGGAAACAATGGTTCCCATTTGAACATTTCCTTTCTTTTCCTTTTCTGGTGAAAGCGAAAAATTTTGGATTTGCCCTCACTTTGTTTCCAGGTGACATGTTGGTCAGGACAATTAGAAAGAGTGAATCTCAATATTAGGGACACAGACAGCAATAAAAACCCGATAGAATTTCTAAGCTACAGCTCGCGGTATACTGAGACGCCGCAGCCGGGACGGATCCCGACAATACTGTCTGGATCCACCCAGCTGCGGGATTGACAGCTGGCTCTGCCTATCCAGAGGCAGAGCCTACTGTGCCCGCCCCCTCCACCATCCGTTTCGCCAGTCAGGGCTGGAGGATCAGACAGTGGAGGGGGAGGAATCCCTGCAGGGAGCCGTGAGTGACAGTCACAGCTCTCTGCAGGGATAGATCGAGAAGGGAGCGAGCGACTGTATTTGTTCGCTCACTTCCCGATCTACTGAGCCGGCCTGTGACAGTTTCATTGAAGCCTCATAATCTGAAACTGCTCAGATTATGAGGCTTAGTGAAAATCACTCACCTCATAATTCTCCTTTAATCTGTTTAGAAACAGGTACATAAATTTGTTGCATGCAGATTGGCATTGAGGTCGTAGTGTCCGTACTGTCTGCAGTCAATCACAAGGTAGATGGACCTGACGGAGAACTAGTTTCCCAAAGTTCCCCATAATGTCCGCCTTCCTTGTGGCTGACAGTGGACAGATTCTATTGACATATGGAATCCGCCCACTGTCATTCGCTGTCAGTCACAAGTAATCACCCCAATGTGTTGAGTTATGCATTAGCTAACCTTTGTGTGTCTTCACATTTATAGCCGTTATATTATTTAGTAATTTTTCCAACAGACATGTGCTAAGCATCTGGTGGGAACCACATCAAGGGTTGTTGATAGTCACATTTAGCTTGCATGTTGCTCTATTAAAACTAATGCACTACAAATGCTGAAATAGTTAAGAGTACTCTAAAATCACTTAGAATTTTCCTCAATTTCATGCTAGGTTGTACATTTGCTTTATTCTGTCTTCAGCATAAGCTTCAGCAAATTTCACAGAGTTAGTTTATATTTGTGTTGCTATTTTTTTCCCTAAATTAGCTGACTTTTCTTCAGAACACCATGTTCTTTATTGACATACAAGAAAGTTATAAAGCTGCCTAATGACTCTTCATAAATAAGCCTGTCTTCCAGCAACCTTTAAATAAATGCACCCCGTGTTTCTTGACAATTAAAGGGATTTAACTTTTCAGTTTCATTTGAATGCTTTTGCTCTTGCAAGTCACGAAATGCTGTAGTCGAGCACGTATATTTAAAAAAAATCATTTGTTAGGTCTTGTAGGGGAAATAATGATCTGTCCTGTGATCCTCAGCAGGCATGCAGATCAATATAATTATAAAGAAATGCCATGAATTACAGAGAAAACTGTATCAGCATTTTCTGCTACCTAAACAGAGGAGAAAAGTGGGGACAAACATTGCTTGCAGGATGCTGATGTACTTACACATCACACCATGAATTAGCTGCCAAACAGGGAAATTGTCCAACATTTAGATTTTCCTTTTTTTCTAAAACCAACCTCAGAGACCCTGGTTTCCAAGCTGGAGGCACAGACATGTCTACCTAGACAGACTGCATTTTCTTTTTGGTTGCACTATTTCTAAGTTTGTTTAGTTAGTTGATACTCAAAATGTTTTTCCTTTACAATGCAGTGTTGTATTGGGTGTGCTGGGGCTTATTAATAGGAAACAGAGCTGTTTCTCATATCAAACAATCAGATGAATTGCTTTATTTAAATGAAAAATGTAGCCTTATTTTCCATAATCCAGCTCCTACAATTTCCAGAACCTCTTTGACATAGGACTCTGTCATTTGCAAAGATGCCCCAAGCTTTTTTCGTGTGTCCACAGTCCATTCTGACTTGTTAAAAGCCCCCAAATCTAAAATTTAAGTAAATCTGTTATCACCTACAATTCCTTGTAATAATGGTGCTGAAGTGGTGCCAGCACATACCCATGTACATTTTCCGATTAAACTTTGTGTCCATATGGAAGTCCTCACATGCATCCTATGCCTTACATAATCTTGACTTGTAGTAAAGCTGAACCTCTTGTAAATTCTAGGCTTAGGAA